GAGATTGTGTGTGCGTGCATGCATGTGTGAGCGCACGCACAAGGTTCATAGCGGGCACCTGAAGAGGGAGGATATCATCGATGTGCGTGCATAAAAGCAAGAGATGGATGGATGGTGTGTGTGTGTGTGTGTGTGTGTGTGTGTGTGTGTGTGTGTGTGTGTGTGTTATACACTACAGAAAAAAAAAATCTTTTCAAATCAATTTTCTCATCAATGTTTACCAATCCCATGCTCTAATAATCAAAAGTTTAAAAAAACAATTTGCATTTATAGGATGGAAAATAATTCATCAAGTTTGTTTTTTGACTTAAGATAATATCAGGTTTTTACAAAAAAGACTGGCATTTATGGGGTTAAAATACACAACCTGAATAAAGTTTTGCTATTTATGATTAGGTTATAAGTCAATGATGGCAGCCAAAAAAAAAAAATTTTAAATATATTTATTTAGACAATATTTCTACTGCAGCAAAATGGAGGGGACCGTTTCAGTCCTTAGGGGTGTTAATTGAAGTTTTTATTATTATTCAACACTACAGAAAAAATACAAATCCTTTCAAATCCATTTTCTCATCAATGTTTACCAATCCCATGCTCTAATAATCAAAAGTTTAAAAAAACAATTTGCATATATAGGATGGAAAATAATTCACTAAATGTGTTTTTTGACTTAAAATAATATCAGGTTTTTACAAAAAAGACTGGCATTTATGGGGTTAAAATACAAAACCTGAATAAAGTTTTGCTATTCATGATTAGGTTATAAGTCAATGATGGCAGCCAAAAAAAAAAAAAATTTAAATATATTTATTTAGACCATTTTTTTACTCCAGCAAAATGGAGGGGACCGTTTCGGTCCTTAGGGGTGTTAATTGAAGTTTTTCTTAGGGGTGCACAAGGGTTAAGGTAATGATTACACTCTTATCAAAACTAGAGCAAACAAATCACAACAAACCAAAAATGGCTGCCTCTTCATTATCACTGGCCTGATAATGCCCATAAAGAAAGGGCTGCTCAGGCATTAGGCTGTTTGAATAAAGATTTTTTAACACTTCTGGCTTGTTTTCTTTGTTCTGATTCAGATAAAAAAAAATAATAATAATAACCTGTTACATATTATCCTTGAGTCATTTCGTTTTTACACTACAACACAGTAAATCGAGTCAACGCACACACCATTGTGTGGATCTGTCTGTGCATCATTACATCACAGCTTCATTTTCAAACTGCATAGGTAAACAAATGCCATTTGTAGTCGCTGCGCATTGCATTGTTGGAAGCCAGTGTCTCAGTTTAAAGAATTCACTCATAATCTGGTCACTTTCAGTTGAATGTGTCAGCAGTTCTTATGGTTACACTAGCTGTTGAAACACTTTCTTTGTGTCTTGGTTTATCCATTTATTAAAATGTCCAAATATAATCATTAGCCAAGTCAGCAGTTAAGAGGTCACCATTTTCACCAGTACACCAGCCTCAAAACATCAACATATAGATATATATTTTTTGGATGACCACCAACAATAAAGCAACCAATCATCGATTAAAGACGTTTTATTGCTGCCTGTCAGGATTTTACCTAAAAGAAAATGTATGTAATCAAATTCTTTGGAAAACAAAAATCCCCCTCTGCTCTTCTGCTTTCTGTCTATCTTCATTTTGTGTGACCCAAATCGAACTACAATACCAAACTTCAACTTCAGAGTAAGTAAGTCAAAACCATTTGTTGCTTTTGTTAAAGTATTTAGGATTAAAGAGCTAGAAGTCACAGTATCAAACCATCATGAGACTTAACATCGAGAAGCTAAAACTATAAAACCTTTAAGATATATATATATATATATATACATATATAATAACACACACACATCTTTCACTGAAGAGTGTATGTTCTCAGTTTTTGTCATTGCCACCCTGATAACGCAAAACCCATTCCAAATTTTTGCGTTGGTTCCATTTGCAATCCAAATATGTGGCCCTGTTTGTTATGATCAAGCACAACTCTATTTTTTTTGTTTTTACCCCTGTTTGTGCACTTTTTCTGTAGCCTTGGCTACAGAGATGTAAGTTAAAACAGCACCAAGAGGTTTATTTCATTTAAAGTTTGATCATGTTTGAAATGAACTTCCCAGCTACAAGAAAGAAACATACTCCCAAACTAATTGTTAATCACACTGAATATATTGTGTACTTCATCATTTTACCACTTCTTAGATTCTGTTTGACATGATACAGTGAAGTGCTGGACAACTAATAAGAAGAACATACTAATATTGCAAGATTGAAAACATATCAACAGCTGGCAGGTCAGTAATCCAAAAAGAGGAAGGAAGAAAGATTCAATTTTGTGTTTGATGAAAGGAATTTTTTTAAAGGACAGTAACATTTATATGAAGGTTTATGTAATAACTTTGATTAGCTGTTGATAAGGCACTTACAAGCTCTTGTAAACATTAAGAAGTGTTAATGAAAGCATAGCTACCACATTTATTGTTGCTAATAAATGCATTATTAATCCTAAAAATGAATTAATCTCATCTTATTCACATTGAATAATAACTTGTTAAAATGTAATATCTGGTCTTTTGATTTGACAAGATTCCAGAAACAGTTAAAGGGGAGCTGATGAGCATTAATAAATGTGAGCCAAAATTTTCAAGGCTCATACAGTTATTTTTTTAATGCTGACCAAGGTCTAACTGAATTCTGAAAGCGGTATATACTGGTATACTGATAGTAAGTACCCTACAGGTGTGTTGGAAGCTAATAATGCATATTTTTAAGGCTATTTATTAATAGACATCCTATTGATGTGCATGTCATGTATAAAAGCTGTTAACATGTTTGTATTTGCAACCGACAAGTGTATTGTAACCAGTAAAAATGAGTTAATTCTGCTCTATTATCATAAATAAGTGATTATAATCACCTTATTAAGTCTTTTTAGTGGCTTATTAACTTTAATGTTCATTACAAGACCCTTCATATACAGTGTTATCAAAAAGACTTCTAAAAATGAGTTCATTAATGTCAAAAAGGGGAACTTCACTGTCATCTAGCCAGCCAATATGCAAACTCCAAGGTTTAATATTAGCAGGAGATGTATTTGGGTGAATTTTCATATCCTCTCCTTATACACAGGACTATTCATCGATGTTTTCAGCATGTGTCCCCTGCTTCTTCTCCAGGAGCTGTCATTTGAATATCAAACCACAGCAACCGTGTATGAGTACATGGTGATGTTTTTACAACACTAAGGCACAGTTTAGAAAGCTCTATTTGATAATCAAAACATCTCAAGACCCCTGAGTAATTCAAATACAATGGAAAAGGAAAAAGACATGAGTCACTTGTATTATCTGGTGTCATGACCTTAATAACCAAAGATTTGGTTCAGATGCACACCAGGCTATCAAACTAGGCTATTAAACCAGGCTAACAAACTCTGCAAAGTCACTGGAGTTACATTAGAATCTGTGGTAAAAACTTCACTAATGGTATGTTGAGATTTTACCATTCAGGGTACATAGGAATATGTCTGCAAAGGTTGCAGTAACACTAGGCACCAAGTTCTTACTGGCTAAACCCACAGGATCTGGAACAGCTCCGCTCTGCTCTGGACCGGCAGACGGACTTAATCAGCAAGCATACAGTGCCCACCGGACCGGATCCGCCGCCATCGGAGGGTTCGCGAGATTACCGATATTTCTCACGAGACTGGACGAGATCTCACGAGCTCTCGCGTGTTTCCCCAGGAGTCATAGAGTAAGATCCGCCGATCGGTGTATATAAGCGGCGATGTATATAAACAGCGGTGTATTTAAACACCCACATCCCACAACCTTGGCCTCTCCCATTATCAAGTTAAGAACAGTTCGATGTATTGACTTTATTTTATTTTGAAAATTTACCGGATATTTTACTCTGCAACCGCATAAAACTTCCACTGCTGCTCATGCTGTGCTGCACTGAATTGATGCACCGTGCTCTGGCATCCAGCAAAAATAGAAGCTTTGCGTATCTGCCTCCAGAACCGATCCGCAGTGGAGCCAGATTCTGTGGAATGACTTACATTGATAATAATGCTTGTGGATTTGATCCGCCGGCCGTGCCGGAGCGGAGCAGAGCCGATCAAAACCTGTGGGTTTTGCCTGTTACCGTGAGCCTTCACCACTGAACACCTACTGACATTCATAAAATCCCAAATCAAAGCAAACAGAAAGGAGGTTTAAGAATATAGAAAAAGGGGCAGATTCTCTGGAGGTATAGATGCAACACTGTACAATGAATTTTAAGTGCAGAATTGAAATGTTCATCAGAGGTGATCCTCCTCACTGGGATTTTTTAAGTATTCACAGTTTGTTCAAAACTATATTGGCACGACTTTTTCCATACCAGAACTGTAATTTAATTAGTTAATAAAAAGATTTGAAAGGAAAAAATGACAAATTTGACTTTCTCTGACATTCATGGAGCATCTAATGTGATTTGATTATCAACAGCACCAATAACAATCTTATCAAAGTTAAAACCTGGTGTCTTATTGGTTTCCATTGAAACACCAAGGCTGTCACTCAGTCACATTTGACTACTCTTATCTTTCATCTGTTGCCATCACTGTTTTCTTTGTAGATGTGCTTATTATACTGCTGCCTTTAGCATGCTTACATCATCCTCCCAGCAGAGATAAATAGAGTGGCACACTGAAACAAAGTGGCCAAGCTGACAGCACCCTGACCACACCTCAGCAGGAAAGAGAACTTTTTTCAGCTGCGTTTCTTTGATACAAGCACTGGGTTTGGTAAGGAAAACAGTTCAATGGATAACTTAAATAACCTTGATGGATCTGAATGCATCTTTAATCCCAGAAATTTTAACTTCAAATTATTATTCTAAATTTTCTAAGAGCTGCTTACTTTTTTATTCAATGATTTACTACTGTATTTATCTCTGTGCCATTCTTTTAGCATTTTTACAATATGGGCATCTATACAACCCTGAAGATGGCACTTTTGCTGCCCATGTTGTGTCCAGGTAAGATCTGTTTTCTGGGGTTGACATCTGTCTGATATTTGGTGGGTGCTTTGTGCACTTACACAAATACACATCACAGTGATAGCCGGTGTCTTTCTCCAACAGCTGTATTTCTGAGTTCTCCTTTAAGCTGCCCCCTTGTGCAGGATTTTTACTGGGTTACTGTGTGATCAATTGTTTGCAAAAACAGCCAAAAACTGGAGGCATCTTCATATGTTTATGGACAGTGTGTAGCAAATGTACTCTAACCCTAATGGCTGCATTTTGAACATTTGAACATTTTGGTACAGCAGCACATATACTGTTGCTTGTGTTGCTTTAATGTGTGGTTATGCAAAGGAAACAAAGAATATAATGTTACTTTACTTTCTCTGTGTTGATGCAGGGTTGTTTCTCTTTACATTTGCAGCTCAGCGTCTGCGATACTTTGAGATCCTAACTGATGATAACTTTGAGTCAGCAGATGTAGCCTTCAAAAAGTGTAAGGAGACAAATGCATCAATGATGACTTTGTATGATGAGCAGGATGCCAAATTTGCATTCAACTTCACAAAGGGCTGTGAGGAACTGGGTCTCACAAGAAAGTGCTGGCTTGGCTTGCAGTATGTTGGGAACTGTTCCAAGTGGTCCAGTGGTGAACCTGTCACATTCCTATCCAACAACATAACTACACATCATTCAAGAAATGAACAAACATGTGTAGCCATTGAAAACAAGGAATGGAAAAAATTTAACTGCTCAGACAAGAAATTCTTCATGTGCTCCAAGGGTAAGTTCGATCATAACAACATGTATAAAGTGCTATCATGTCAATAATACATCAATAAGGTGCTCACCGTGACAACACTAACACATCAGTGTATAGCTAAGGTACATTTTTTTGTGTTTGCTTTTTCTTAGTCAGGATGATAATAGTTTTTCATTTGATTGTTAGTTTTGCAGATATTAAGGCTGTTTCAACTCTTCATTTATTTTTTCCATGCTATGCCACAGCTAACTTTACCAAAGTCAAGAAAGGATCCTGAGTTGTATTGAGCACATAAACTGTTCATAAACTGGATTACATTTTGGCTCTGGGCTGAACTTCCATTGAAGCATCTAAAATTTTATATTTTAAAGGATTCTTTTTTCACCAATTGTTCACAAAATCCACTTTTTGTGTTGGGAGGGGAATTAATGGAAAGACCACAGCTTAAGAAACACATTTATTTCTGCAGCTTTCTCTGTGCTTTGAAAACATGGGATAAGATATTACTGTAAATAAGATTTTAAAAAAGCGCTCACTTCCTTATTTTTATTTTTATTTTAATGAAGGATATTTGCTTCATATTTTTTTTATCTTTTGCAGGTGATAATTACACTCTAGTTGAATCTGCAAAGACTTGGTGTCAGGCTCTTAAGCATTGCAGAAAGAAACACGCTGAGCTGGTCAGCATCCACAATGAAACACAAAATGAGACAGTCATAAATCGTGGAAAAAACAAGAGCTTTTGGATCGGACTCCAGCTGGATTGTTGGAGGTGGGATGACAACGGCTGTTCTTCGTTCAGAGAATGGACAGGCTTAAACAATGAAGGAACTATAGATGCTAAATGGACAGGGATGGGTATTAATGACCAATCAGTTTCTCTTAATCGAATGGCTGATGATAGCTTTGGTCTGTCTCCCTTTTGCGCTAAAGGTAAGCAAAAATATTAACAAACCCCATTTACATTGAAGTTGGGATGTTGTGTAAAATGTGAATAAAAACAGAATACAATGATTTGCAAATCCCTTTCCATCTAAATTTAATTAAACACACAAGCAAGACAAGATATCAAATGTTCAAACTGATAACCTTGATTGTTTTTTTTGGGCAAATATTTATTTATTCTGACATTGATGCTGTAACACATTCCTGTTGGAACAGGGTCAGCCTTTCCACTGTGTTACATCGCCTTTTCTTTAACAACACTGAGTCGTACAATGAAACTTAACTTCTCAATGCATAGAAACAGAAAATGTACAGCACCAATCATTGCCCTAATATTTGAACTATTTAGTTATGCACAAAGCACATTACACAGCTAGTATTACAGTAGCAATAGCAGTATTAACAAATCCTCTGTCACATACTAGGTAACGTGAGAATCAAGGTCGTTAATCAGAGTCAAACATGGGAAAACGCCTTCGACTACTGCAAGAAACATTACTCCCGCCTGCTGTGGATCACAGATAAGCACGATCAGCAGGCTGTTGAACAATGGCTCAACAACTATGATGTGGGTGTGGATGGTCCATTCTGGATTGGTCTGATACAAAGTCGTGTCTTTGGATTCTGGATTTGGGCTGGCGGTACGACAGTGTGGTACTCCAACTGGAAGGGTGAAGAACCACCTGAGATGCCCATGTCTCAGAATTGTGGAGTCATTGACAAAGATGACAAAAAATGGAGCGATGAAAATTGTCTGTACAAGCGACCGTTTCTCTGTGAGGAGGATATTATCTACATGTAGTCATATTTTACACTTATCAAACTTTACTGTTGTATTTTTAATCAAAAGTAGAATAACAGTAAGTTGCCGGCTGCTTTTAGTAATTAAAGACAGACACCCTGAGCTTAGATTCCTTTTTTTAATCATGGTTAACGGCTCAGCATGTATGTCTCTGATAATTGAGTTTAAACAATCTAACACTTTAAAGGGTTCTGTTTTGAGATTTATACAACTTATATCAAATATGAATGATTTTGTGAAATGTATTTTTGCTGTAATACTCATTTCTATCGCTGTCTTTCTTAGTGTTTGCTCTCTAATTTTGTGGAAAAACAAATTGTGTGTTTGTTTTTAACTCAATATTGGTTGCCTGTATATTGTAATACCCAGTTCTTGTGAGAGTTGTGTTACTTTCTCGTTTTTTTTTTTCTTTTGTTTTGTATTTTTTTTCCTAAGTTACCCTGTTGCTGTGCATTACTTAAACATACCAAGTCAATACATTTAGATTAGAGCTGTTAAAATAAGGTGCAGATGTCAATTTATGAATGGTGGAAAAATAACTTTGTTTGGAATCATAGAAACACTTCTTTGAGACTTTTTTTATCACTCGATGAATCAGATTGAACAAAATGATCTGCGGTCTGTTGAGAGGAAATCAGCCTGCCCACCCTCTCTAACCCTCCCTTCTTTGTTATGAGATTTCACCTTTTCTTCATCACATACTTTTTTAAGGAGTGATGTGATGTTTACAAGGAAGGTAAAGATGCTGAGGAGGTCTACATGAGAAGCAAGATTGGACCAGAACAGGATGATGATCATGATGAAATTGTTAAAAACAGTTGTAGTTTAAATAGTAATACTGTTTTGGAGTACTAAGTGAGCGGCAGTTAGTTAGTCCTGACTGTAGTATATTGAACATTAATGACATGTAAAGGCAAAAGAAAAAAAAAAGTTATTATGATAACATTAAGGATTTAAATAAAAGGTTTTCTTGACTAATAATTCAGGCTCTCTCTTCATCTTTTCATACAGATGTATGAAAACACTGAAAATTTCCAAGGAAGGACACCCCAAACTCACTTTGCCCCCCAAGAAATTCTAGCCGGGATGACGCCCCTGCTCTTATATTAAAGTAATTTGTCAATCTAAAATTGGCCATAAAAGTATTCAGGACTGAAATTAAGTATGTGCTGTATATATGATGACTAATTTGCCTTTTCTCCTGTTACACCTGAGTATATTTTTCAAACTGCATATTATCTACATTGGGATGTCATTCTTTGTCAAAATATCACTGTATGGATTACACTACACTTGTTTTATTTTCCATCAGCACTGAGTTTATATTCTCATATGATCAAGTTCATAGAAGAAACTTTTAATGTCCTAAGAATCAATAAATATGTGGCTCAAATTACCTAACAAAATTAAAATAAATTATGAACAAACTGTGGTATTGAAATGGGGATTAACTATTTACTGAATTTTAAGCAATTTCAGCTTAGCATATCAGATGAAAAAGGTTAGAAGAGGAGAGATAAGTTAGCCTAAAGATGCCGAAAACAAGAAGAAAAATTTAGTCCAATCGACAGAGTCACAGATGGCAAAAAAAAACAAACAGATTATACAAAGCTTTGACATGTAGAACAAACCCTAAATACACTATGAAGTAGCGAGATGGGTGGATCAGAAACAAAGACGTGAAACTCTAGAAAGGTACAAGGTAACTAGAAGAAAAAAGAAGCAAATAAAGGATGATTGGACAACTTCCAGAGCCATTTTCACCCTGTGGACTAACTCAGAAGGAAGACTCAATCCATCAGACACTCACTCATCATTCTAACTCATCACATGGCTCACAGTGTGTGTGTGTGTGTGTGTGTGTGTGTGTGTGTGTGTGTGTGTGTGTGTGTGTGTGTGTGTGTCCAGAGACTTGGACAGAATAAGAGGCTAAGCTATGGCCCCATTTGGGGGCTGAAAGATGGGCTGAGCCTGTCGTCCCACAGAAATGCCTCCACCAGTTAGCAAAATGTGAACAGATGTTCTCCATGGCTGAACTTTACTCCTGGGGGATTTGACTGTGAGTGGACTGCAGCTGCCAAAAACACCCAGAATCTTTTGCCCCTGGTATCTGTTCCATCCTAAGGTGAAATTCACAAAACATATTACACTCAATAACAGTGAACAACAGTCTGTATGTGCAGGTACATCGCTTTTCAGTCATAGATGTGATTGTTGTCGAGATCACTGAAAAGTTCAAGCCTGAAATCCTGTAGAAACACTGTTTCACTGAAAAGGTTGTGACATGTTTTAACCTTTCATTTCTGTTTATTTGAGTGTTGTGGTCATTTTGTGGGCTTGCCATTTGCTGTGTGTCACTTATTCAGGATGTAACTAGTATAAACTTATAAAATCACAACTTTCCCATTTCATTAGTTAGAAGGGAAAAAATAAACCATGTCTTCTTATTTTATATTATACCTTATTTATTACTCTCCTTTATCTGTAATGATTCAACAATGAGGGAAAGTGTGCACACACCACAGATGTAGGTTTCTTTTCTCTCTGTCTCACATGCACACATGCACACACACACACACACACACACACACACACACACACACACACACACACACACACACACACACACACACACACACACACACTTGTACACAAACAAACCAACACGAGCTGCATGACAATCTCTACAGCCGTGGGGAAGAATCATAGAAGCTACCCTCATGTGAAAAATTCACCCAGCCTGTCGGTCCATCAACGTCACACATGCACACACAAACGGTTGCAGTGCCACTCACATGCACAGTGGACACATGCTCACACATGCAGACAGACGGTCCTTGCTGAAGTGTAAAACGGCTGAAGCCGAGGTTTTGATGAATGATTGCAGATAATATAGAAAAAAAAATGAGAGAGGGGTTGCATCAAAGAGCCCCTTTCAAAAGCTTCGCAGTCTGGCTGCTCATCTTGTGCAGTGTGAGGACAGAGAGTTACAGTTTGAAAAAGGGAGACTTTCAATGTGGTTTTCTTTTATTCTGATGTGAATCATATTCAATAGGTTAATATTTTATTTTCATGATACTCTAGTTTCCCTTTTCTATCCTCATCTTTCTTTTCTCTGCCACTCTTCGCTTCTTGTCTCTTTTTTTCATTGACAGTCTTCCTAAAAACTCCATTTTCTTTTCCTGGCGGATTTGCATTCTTTCATTCTTATTTCATTCAGTTTTTCACACATACTCCACTTATTTCTGCAACTTTTCAAAACATTTTTACTTTCTTTACATCCTTTGTTCTCATGTCAGTTTACTGATTATTAGGCAGTAGTGGACTTTAGTAGGAAATGCTCTGATTTATGTTTCCAGTCCTAGTATGTTTGACCAATCATGAATCAAACATTAAGAAAAAAAAAAAAAGAAAAAACACATTGAGTGTCAAATCTGCTGTGACGCCGGGCCGCACAAGCAAATCAGGGTTTTAATCTCTGAACCTTTCTGAACATAGACCAATCACTAACATATAATGATGATATATAGTGTCAATATCGCTTTGATTCTTTTTTCCTCATTAGACAAAATACAATAATATGAAACCTACTAGTTTATGCAAAACAAAATTTAAATTTTGTTTATTTTTTGGGGGGTTCATGCCACTACAACCAACAAAAAAAAGCCTCTGTGTGACTGACTTTAAACAGTGAAACTGAGACTCACTAGAAACCAGTGGATAGGGGCTACTTATTTAGCAGACATATCTGGAGACATGATTTTACTCGCCACTTAATCTGAACACATGTCTGCTTCTCATGTTGCTGTTTGGATTGTGAACAATGCACAGCATGCTAAAGAAAGTCTTGGATTTAAGTTGCCAACTTCTGGCTAAACTGCAACACCTGATTAAATAGAAATAGGAATGAATAAGAACAAATAAGAAATTGCACCAGCTAGTTAAAAGTGCAGAATATTTGAAATAAAGCTATTTACAATGTGCAGAGTGTTTAAGAAACTACCTATGGCGTACGAATGTATACCAAAACAGTTTGTAGTGTAGGATATTGCACAAAGAATTGTACAGTTTAACAGCCTCATCACCCTTCCTGATGCATCCAACTACAACAGAGTCAACAGAGAACTTGTTAAGGGGCAGGGCTCTGTGTTGTAGTTTAAGTCCGTGTGTAGAGAGTGAAGAGGAAAGGAGCCGGGCCCCAGTGTTGCTGACTACTCTGTCTTACACACAGTGCTGTAAACGTACAAACTGCGGTCTACCTGTCAGGTAGTCAATAATCCAGGAAAAGGGGAGCCTCCACCTGCATCACTGTCAGCTTCTCCCTCAGTACAAAAGCACTGGAGAATTCAAAAACATAACCCTCATGGTGCTCTCTGGTTTGTCAAGGTGAGCATAGATACGGTTGAGCAGGAAGGTGATGGCATCCTATACTCCCAGGCGGGGCTGGTAGGTGAACTAGAGTAGATCAAGAGGTGTCTGACCATTGGCCTCAGCTGTCTAGGAGGAGTCTCTCCAGGGTCTTCATGATGTGAGATGTCAACGGCACTGGTCTATAGTCCATGGAGCCGTCGGGATGCAGCGTCTTCAGAACTGGGACCAGGCAGAATGTCTTCCATAGCACAGGGACCCTTTGAAGACTGAGGCTCACGGTGAAGACATGATGAAGAACTCCACAGAGCACAGAGAGGGGGGCACAGGCTTTGAGGACTTTGGGGCTGACACCATCAGGGCCATCTGGTCAACTGTGGAGGAGACTGTGGAGGTGACTGAAGGGGGGCAGGGTCATCATCTGTGGGAGGGCTGTCAGTGTAAAAGCAAGAGGAGGACAGAGCATAGGTGAGACCCTCACCTGAGGAGGGAAGGTTCATTAGCCGCATCCAGACTGCCTTCAACGCCCCTGCTGTCAGGTATCCTAAAGCCTGTGATAGTCTTCATGCCAATCCAGACCTGATGTTTTTTTTGCAGGGGGATTCGCTCCAGATTCTTCCTATAGGTGTTCT